AGGACAGTGTCTGTCTCAGGTGATCAAGCATTCCCAGAGCATACAGTGGATAATCAGGAATAAATTCCTGAAAGGATGCTAATCTGTGAAAAGATTCATGGGGTCAGAATAATGAATACAGCACTTTTGGCAGTAGCCTACATGTGATGACTGAAGGTTCTGAAATCAGACTGTTTCTTTACTGGCATTTACTATTCAAATATTGAAGAAAAATTCATGAACACAAAGCATCAATAAATTTTTATTTTTTTCCTGATAGATGATGCTCATTTTGAATGAGATTTGGAGGTTCTTAGCACTCTGGGGAATGCCAATGCCTAACAGGGAAATTTACTAGAAAAACAAAAGGACTTCGTCAGGACAAATTTCCTTGCTGTTTAAGACATTTCAGTTACTTTGATGATGCAGAAAAAAAAATTCTAAATGGAAACGATTTCATCTCTCCTTTATATTAAATGTGTGGTTCGACACACAAATCTATTTTTTTTTAGAGAGGGAGAAAGAGTTGGGGGAGGGGCAGAGGGAGAGGGAGAATCTTAAGCAGGGTCTACACCGAGCACGGAGCCCAACACAGGGCTCAATCTCACAACCCTGAGATCATGACCTGAGCCGAAATCAAGCGTCGGACATTTAAGCAACTGAGCCGCCCAGGCGCCCCACGTGTCTATTTTTTTGTTTTGTTTTGTTTTTCTCATTTATTTTCACAATCCATTTTGGTATTTTTATGGTATAAATTTAGACTTTAATACATAGAATGCTGAAGTGGACAGTGTTGAATTTTTCTACTCCGGAATACTTTCTTCTAGAAAGAGGACGCTCTTGCAGAAAGAGCATGTTGTAGAAAGGGCACCTCTCTTTTCCTTTACCCACACTGCTTCTCCTTCCTCCGTTCCTCATCACTGGCCCTTCCCCAGCCATGTTGTTTTGATTGCAGTTGCCAAGCACAGGACCTTCTCCTTAGGCACAGGTGTGGCCACTTGGCCCAGACTGGGCCACCTGCCCACAGTGCTTGGTCCAAGTGAGGGCACAATCCCCAAGGTAGATCAAAGGGCTCGTCCCACAGATTGCATTAATTACAGCTGGTGCAAGGTTCCGAGGACACAATCCAATAGCAGCTGCAGATATAGTCCAGTCTTGGAACGGCTAATCCGCTGGAGCACTTTTTGTGCCTGGTTTGCTTATGCGCTTTCTAATGTTACTGAGGTTTGATAATATGAACCAACAAACTTCCCACTTTTATTCGAGTTCAGTTTTGAGCCCTAGAAACTGAAAGAGACACCATTAGACTGTTAGAAGCCTTAGCTTTCACATCTTGGACATTCTTTTTTTTTTTTTTAATTCAATTCAATTCAATTTTATTTTTTAAACTGCAGATTTTTTATTAAAGTATAATTACCATACAGTGTTATATTAGTTTCAGGTATACAATACAATGATTCAACAATTCTATACATTTTTCAGTGCTCATCAATATGTGTACTCTTAATCTCTTTTTATCTATTTCACCCAAGTCTTGAACATTCTTGAAGATTGGTCTAGAAGAGCTCAAATTCACTTCCAATTTATTCCATTTTATTGCCCTTTAATTCTTTTGTTTTCAGGAGAAAAGTTTTACTTTTCTATTTTCTTTTTTCATACTTGGATGCTAAAATTATTTTGTGTAATTCTGCACTAAGATGCAATACTTGTCAGTAGCGAAGGAGCAAAACTGAAAAATGTTTAGAAAGTGTGGAATGAGTATTCTGTGCCATGAGCACGTTTGTAGATCCAAAGTTCAAAAGTAACTCTGGCATTAGCTGTCATTTCCTAACTTTTACACATAAAGAAAATAATGTTCAGGGGCCTTATTTTTAGTGGCTTAAACTTTGAGGTTCATCTGTGTTCAAAGTAATTACCTGAAATAATTTCTCTAATTCACTCCTTCTCCTAGTATTAACATTAAAATATAAGCTAGAAAGGGAGGAAAATTATGTAACTGGGATGCTTTACATATCCATAGATATTAATAGTTATTTATAGCTCATATTTGTAGCATAGTCTTAGCTACTGTTCTTCAAATAACATTTATCAACATTGAATTGTTTATCTAAAAAGATATTTATAGAGAATTAACATGAGCTGTTCTCCTATATAAGAAATCTTGAGACGACTTTAGAAAGCTCTGTATTTATTCTAGATCTGATTTCATTATGCCTGGAAGAAAACATTAATTGATAGCTTTATTCAATATGTAAAAATTACTCGTTCTTCAGTGTTTGCTATACCTCCAGAGGTACAAAGTAAAGTTGAAGAGCAAGGAGCAGATGGACAACAGCCATTTCAAAAAGAAGAATAGGACAATAAAGGAGGGCAATAATATATATCATGATATATATAATAACAAAGAATAATAATATTGGCTATGGTTTTTCTCAGGATTCAGAACTTCTGAGAAAAAATACTCTGATTTCCTTAAAATTTTGAAATGCAATTATAGGTAAAGAAGCTGCAGAAATCAAATTGGGTTCTTTTTGGGTTATCTAAACACATAATTTTGGAATCTAATACATCCTTTGGGATCAAAAGAGTCATTAAGAAGCCATTTAGCTATAAGAAATATCAGCAAGAAAGCATTGAATCCAGATGGTTATAAAGTTTCATTTTAGGAAATATTCAGTGATAGAGTATATCCAATTTTAAATGAGAGTTGCAAATAGGCAGTAAAGTTATTTCATCTTAATTTAGTAAACATTTTCCTTCTTTAAACTGAAGCAAAAACTCCAAGATGTGAATTTCCAAAAAGGTCAGTTTATAATTTAACATGAATCCAGTAACCTTTACAAAAAAATTATTGGATTTTTTTAAATATGTAAGCAAAAGAGAATTGAGATAGACTCATTTTTGCAAAATGAGAAGACTCATTTTGGTCCATTTCTCTTCTCTCTGCATTGGAAAAGAGTATATGTCCAAGAATGTAATAAAATGTATCTCCTTCAGACATAAAGATGATATGAATAATACTGATGGTTTTGTGGGGTAATCTGTCTGAACGTACAGGATTGGAGGACAGTACCTTAGCAGTCAAGTTATCTTTGGTATGATAAGGAAAACTTTCCAGTCATGATTTTGATAGTTTCTTAAAGCAGCTGACAGTGTATTCTTATGAACTTATAATTTTACCTAAGGAAGTCTAGTGTACATCTCTTATTTTTGCCACCCAGCATCCACTTCCCCTTCCTTCTGATAATGAGCCATTGTAACCCCCACTTCCCTCTCCTCACTCCATGGGCTTCAAGGAAGGAGTGAAAGAGCAAAATCAAGAAAATAGCAAATTCCATCCACTTGATCATAGTGCTTGGTTCAGGGATAGACCTATGATCTACATCTGGCCAGCCGGGGCCAAGGAGAGTCAATCTGGAACTATCGGTACAAACTGACAATAAAGGTGAGTCTGAAGTTAGTCTACCCTAAGTTGTTCAGGTATCTAAGCCAATATATTTTCTTTTTAAAAAATTAAGTTAGGAGTTCATATTGGATTTTCTATTGAGAGCAGTAGACAGAGTTCTTACTGATACATGATATGAGAATAGAAATCAACCAGGGAGCTTGTTAAAGTTACAGATTCTCAGACTTATCCCAGACCAATTGAATCAGTATCTCTACAATAGGAGCCTAGGATTTATTATTTTAACAAGAGTTCCAGGTGGATTTTTTAATCACAGTTTGTGAAACACTCTCTTAAGGAATTTCTTAGAAGTAGCCATTGAATGTTATTCAATTTGGTGATAAAAAGCACAGAACAGAAGTGGGTTTAGGACTCAATTTTTCACTAAATAGGTGACTTATGGCAAAATAAAGTAGCAGTTCAGTGTTTCTCACCAACAAAGTAGCAATAATAGTGTTTCACACATCAAAGTGTTGTTTTGCGTAGTAAACAAGATAAGGTATACAAGGTTCTTAACACAGCATGTTGAATATATCAGGTATTTAATTTCATTAGTGTTTATTATATTATTGAATTTATTATCAGCATAAGTCAAACTCTGTGCAACATTGGGAAACAGCTCAAATTGAGGAGACTTGAGTCATACTTTCACTATTGAGAGTAAATCAGATAGAACTGAACAAAGAGTTATACCCAACATTGATAAATCTATGAATTAGGTTATTTAAAAAAGTATTTGGGTCTTGACTTTACATGGTACTTTATTTTTCACAGTTGATAAAGCAACAAATTAAATTAATTAATTCATTCTATAAATTCATTCATTCATTCAGTTTTTGTCAGTTTGATCTCCATGTGCAACATGAACAGGCCTTTGGTCTACAAAATACATTTGAGAAGGGCAAAAAGTTTGTTTGAAAGGAATCACATTTCATAACTTCAGCTTCAGGGAGGGTCCCAATTTGACACAAGATGATCCAGAGGAAGAAGAAGTATTGTTTCTTTGCTGTGAAGTCTGGCCTAGAAGTCTTCCCTTGCACTTAGATAAATGTGAGAAAACTGGGGTAAAATTTTCATTTTATTTTACCGTGTATCAGGGTAAGCACTATATTATCATAACAGCTGGCTACAGAATTCCTTCTATAGAGGAAATAGTTTTTAGAGAGAAAGAACCTTAATTAACTGCTTGGGTTAGGAGGTAAAGTCTAAAACTCTGTCAGCAATAGGCTGAACAACAAAAGTCAGTAATAATTCACTGAAGGAAAGAATGGGAGGAATTTGTATGTCTGCTCTTGGAAGAAAGACTAGAACAGAATGGAACAGAGAGACAAAGAAGCGGAGGGAAAGAGAGAAGTCTGAGAAACTTCAGGGACTTTAAGGACAGGGACTGCACGGTTTCTGGGTCGGTGGAACTTTCCCTCTGAGAAAATGGCTGAAGAACATTTTTACATTGGACTTTTTGCATTGCTACAACTAATGCAAAACCCACTTCCACCCTTTCTGTTCCTGTCTTCAACCCAATCTCAAGTAAAGTCTGCTACTTACACTTCTATGTTTTTGTTTTGTTTTTTATAAGGAAATAGTTGAGTCAACGAGATAGCCAACAGAATCTGGTTGTACAAGAACCTGAGCTGACGTTTCCCACTCAACCGCTCTGGAAGTTCACAGAAACTTTAAGGAAGGCCTTGAATCCTAATCGTATATGGGATTTCTGGTAAAATCCCCTACAGATGCTTCCACTTACTTATATTTTAGATCTCGAAGGGTGAGTAGATCACAGTTTCCTGGGTACCAGTATTGATAATGAATACCACTGAAGCTTTGTAAGCTATAAAATAGCACTTTATAAAAATAAAGTGTTTTTATATATGGTATCTGATGTGATGCACATAAGAGATTTGTGAGATAGGCAAGCCAGATACTATTATCCTTGTGTTATAGACAAAAATATAGGGAAAAAAAAAAACAACAACCTCAAACTCAGAGAAATTAGGCATTTGTTCAAAGCCCAGTGTCCAACAACCCTAAGGTTACTGCTTTTGGCTGGGATCTGTATCATTCCAGATTCATCCTCCCAGTGGCCGAACCTGAGCTCATCTTCTGGACAATAACCAAGGACCCTCATTTATGCCATACCTTTAAACACTTGAACCCAGCCTGTCTGTGAAGTAACATTGAACACTCCATCTCCTTGTCTCCACCAAGATATCTCCTTTAATCTCTTTGGACTTGGCATTTGTCTTTTTAAAAATTTATTTGTTGCATTTTAGACTTCATGGTCTTGTAGGAACTGAGCTTTACTCAGTCCTGCCATATTGATTTCATGTAGCTGCTATAACAAGTTACCACAAATTAAGTGGCTTAAAACAACAGAAGTGTATTCACCCATAGTTCCGTAAGCCAGAGTCTGAAACTGAGATTGAAATCAAAGTGTTGGCAAGGATGCACTCCCTCCAAAGCCTCTGGGGAGAATCCATTCTCTCCCTCTTCCAGCTTCTAATGGCTGCCACCATTCCCTGGTTTGTGGCTACATCACTGCAATTTCTGCATCTGTGGTCACATTGCTTCCTTCTATTCTATGTCTGTCTCAGAATTCCCTCTGTGTTTCCTTTATACGGACACTTGTGATTTCATTTAAAGTCCATCCAAATAATCCAAGATAGTCTCCCCATCTCAAAACCTTTAACTTAACTACATTGACAGAGACCCCATTTCTACTCCATACAAGGTAAAATTTTAAGGTTGTAGGTGTTAGGATCTGGTATATTAGGATTGTCACCATGATATCAGCTTATTACATTCTATCCTCTTGAATAAAGCTACTGCATGTCCTTTTGCCTTTGGTTCTAAAGAGTCCCATTTCCTGCGCTAAACCAGGGCAACCCTGTCAAGCAACACTCTCTGGAGTGTTTAATTATTGTACATAGCCTGAAGGTCTTTTTCTTAAATCATACAGCTATTCACTCTGAAAATTTATGGCACAGATGAATTTGATTTGGAAGTTGCTCAATTTTCTAGAAGAATCTTTATGAGTGATTTTGCAGTTCATTTTTCAAAGCACTTAAGATCCAGTTACCCTTCCAATTACTCCCCCTTTTTCTGCTGTTCTTCATAGTATAACTTCTTCACAATTATTGTACATGCATTATATTTACTTCATGAGTTCCCATTCCATTTACGATCCATTATAATCTGACTTCCACCATTGCCCTTTCAGTTTCACTGAAACTGCTCTTAATTTAGTCACCAATAGCTAGTATGACTATATAAACTATCATCCAAATGAAGATATTTTGAAAGTGAACATAGACACTATGTTATGTTAACTACTATTCTAGAAATTAACTACATGAGGGCACAGTACAGAAACTGGGCTATCCCAGGAAAACTAGGGGGACTGGTTACCCTTTGTATGATCTTCACATTGATAAATTCAATACACACTATTTTATCTTTGCCTTACCCAGCTTTCTACCAACTTATTAACACAGCTGAAACCTTCCTCTGTTTCCAATGCTTTTTCTCTCTTCTTCTGCCATACCAATGTTTTTTTCTGTTATTTTCCTCTATAGAAAACTCCTGAATTTCCCCCCCATTTTTGCTTGTCATTGGCCACCCTTCATAAGCCTGCTTACCTGGTTGCTCCTTCTCTACCCAAAGGCCCAACTTTCTCTCTCTGCCATGCATATTCCTATGGTTTTAGATGGCATTCACATATTGGAAACCTCTTCATTTATGTCTCCAGGCCTGATCTTTATGTGTTCCCAGATTCAAATATTTGTCTACATTTTGATATCTCCTCTTGGATAGCACACAGGCTCTTTAAAAATTACACTTTTATTTCCCTATGTATACACCATACCAAAACTGTTTCTCTCCCAATCTGCTGTATAGAGAAAAAGTTACTACCAACTTAAAAGTGTAAACCAGAAACCCACCCCAACCTGTCCATTTGCATATGTGCTTATTTCTACCTCTAAAACACAGTTCAAATGTTCATTTCTATCTCATCACCACAATTGAATCAACCATCAAACCTTTCCTGCAGATTTTTTTTTCATTTTTGCTACTTGGAATTCATTCTCTAAACAATAGCCAGATTGATTTTTAATGCACACACACACACACAAATACATCTGACATATTATTTTTGTAAACATTAAATTAATAAAATTTCTATTCACTGTAAATCTTGATGCCTTGTGGCTTCATAACCATTGACCAAATGGTTTCAGTGCTTCAGAGGAAATGAAGATACTGATATAATACACAAATAGTGAAGATTTTCAAGATATGACATAAGAAGAATTGTCACCAAACCTGAAAAGTAAGCAGAAAGTTTCTATTAGACAAGACATGGCATATCAGCAGGTAAAGGTAGAAGTTAAATCTAAGGGTTCTGGCACAACTCTATGAGGTAAAACCTGTGGGCAAGGAGGCAAAGGCTGTTAGAAAATCTAGACAAGTAAGGAGTGAGGCCAAAACCAGAGGACTCTTATTTGTTGTGGCCTACAACATTCTTGGAAGGGAACATCCCAGAAGCCTGGCCACTACTACAGAAAAAAAGCAGTGTCTTGTGCAAGGAGAAAGAGTACTGGGGATACCACTTATATACAGCAAGTAGGGAGCCCAGTTATTCCAGTATGCTCTCAGCAGGGCGTTTAGCAGATACCTAAGTTGAGAGCTGAGTCTACCTTAGGATCATCAAGGGCAAAGGAGAACTGGCTTTTAGATAGAAGTTATGTAGTGGATAAAGAAGATGTGGTATATATATACAATGGAATATTATGCAGCTATCAAAAGGAATGAAATCTTGCCATTTGCAATGACATGGATGGAACTAGAGGGTATTATGCTAAGCGAAATAAGTCAGTCAGAGAAAGACAATTATCATATGATCTCACTGATATGAGGAATTTGAGAAACAAGACAGGATCATAGGGGAAGGGAGGGAAAAATGAAACAAGACGAAACCAGAGAGGGAGACAAACCATAAGAGACTCTTAATCTCAGGAAACAACTGAGGGTTGCTGGAGTGGTGGGGGGGGTAGGAGGGATGGGATGGCTGGGTGATGGACATTGGGGAGGGTATGTGCTATGGTGAGTGCTGTGAATTGTGTAAGACTGATGAAATAGTAAGACTGAAACAAATAATATGTTATATGTTAATTAAAAAAAAAAGTTACATAGTGGACAGCCTAGTTAGGGGCCAGGTGGAAGACAAGGCTGAGACCCAGAGATTTAATAGTGCCAAAAAAAAAAGCTTAGATTGGGCCAAATCAGTGAGGAGAATCATGGGATTCTACTGTGCTGAGAGAAAAGATTCTCAGTGTCTCCAGATGCAAACCTTGGTGCTAAAAGCCAACAGAGTTCCAAGAGATGAGATGGAATAAAGGGTCACTCACTGGAAGCAGAGAGGATCCATATTTGGTCAAGCACAACATGAGAACATACCTGCTTCCCCAGAAGCCATCTTGGGAAGGATTGGCAATGGTAGGGAACTTTGGGAAGAGAAACAAAGCTGTGGCAGGGAGTTAGAACTTTGAATTTAGTGACTTTATCCAAAAGGACTTAGTAAAATAGAAAGAAGCTGCTTTAAATGAAAAAGAAATAACAGACTCCTTTCATTGGCAAGATTGAGCTTTATCTCACGACCCAATAAGAATTGGGAACATGAGCAAGACAGAAGCAATTATAGACAATAAAAAACGCTACATAATCTTGCACATCTGAGGTAGTGTGCTCATTTTTTTATCCTGATACATATAAACCAGATTTTAATTCTCTTCTTTGTGCCTTCAATTGGCTATTATTTCCTTTGGAATCTAAACTCAATAGCAAGCACTGCACAGTGTGATTTGGCCTAGTTCTAAATCCTTAATCTTTTCATTCTATTTTTCTTCCTGCTCAGTGAAATGCAACTGCACTAACCCTCTGTCCAGCCCTTGGATAAGCCAAGCTCTTTTCCCAACCTGGGCCTTTGCTCAGTTTTCCCCTTTCTGGAATGTTCTATGTTCCCAATATTCACACGGATGGCTCTTTGGTATTCTGTGGTTTCAGTTTAAATGTTACCTCTATGATGACGTCTTTCCCTATCTAAAATAAATGTCTCCATCCCCCATCAATAATTGTGGATAATTCCTAAAGATATACTATTTCATATCATAATCTTATTTTGTAGCACTCCTTACAATTATTGCACCTATCTGTTCTTTGTCCCCACAAGTAAATTATAAACTCCATAAGGGCAGCAATCATATTCATACTGGTCACTGCTGCTTTTCCAGTACCAGCTCAGTCATTTGTACATAGTAAGTATTCAACAGACATTTGTGGATGAAAAACTAAATATTCCATTTTCAATGTTTCCTTATTAGTTACAGAATTAAGTTAAATATCTTATATCACCATTACATAACTTCCGTTGACTTTGTAAATATACTTCCTACTTTTTTCCACAATCCATATACTTAACAAAAAACCCTGAGATACTTATTAGTTCCAATTTTTGTCCTGTAAATTCTTACCTTTGTATCTTTTTGCTTATATAACTTTTTTGATCTGAATAGTCCTTTTCAATCTCTGAAGATTTTAGTCTTATTTATTATTTAAAGTTCTTCCCACATACCACTTTCCCTATGAGGCTTCTATCAGCCTTTGTTTGATGCACTGTAATCTGATGGAATTTTATCTTTACCTATCTAAAACTATGTGGGGTGTATGGGTGGCTCAGTCGTTAAGTGTCTGCTTTTGGCTTAGGTAATGATCCCAGGGTCCTGGGATCAAGCCCCACATTGGGCTCCCTGCTCCTTGGGAAGCCTGCTTCTCCCTCTCCCACTCCCCCTGCTTGTGTTCCTCCTCTCACTCTCTCTCTCTCTCTCTCTCTCTCTCTCTGTCAAATAAATAAAATCTTTAAAAAAGAAAAAAAAATAGAACTGTCTCATCTGAACTATCCCCATGTATATATGTATGTATGTATATAGACACACACTTTTTTCTTGTCTGTTAGTGGATAAATACATAAGATGCATGGATTTATTCTTTGGTTCATTGGTTCGCTTAGTACTATGTCTTTCATGTGAATAAAAGCACTAAATAAATACTGGATATATATGTTAAAAAAAAGGAAAATTATTTTTAATAGTACCATCCTTCTGTAAACTGCTTTTGACATCAGCATGCATGCTATAAATAATACCTAAGAAGTTAAAACCACTCCCAAACCATAAATTTGCTAAATTCCCATCTATATCTTTTTTTTTAAGAGTTTATTTATTTATTTGACAGAAAGAGAGAGAGCACAAGCAGGGGGAGCAGCAGAGGGAGAGGGAGAAGCAGGCTCCCCACTGAGTAGGGATCCCGACGTGGGGCTCGATCCCAGGTGCCTGGGATCATGACCTGAGCTGAAGGCAGCTGCTTAACCAACTGAGCCACCCAGGCGCCCCCCCATCTATATCTTTTAAAACATCTAAAAATCTTCATAATTATTAAAGGGAAAGATTGAGTGCAGAGACAGAAGGAACAGAAGTAGCATGTTTTAGGCTTTTGCCAAGTACTAGATATTGTACTAAGAACTTCATTTACATTGTCTAATTTTAATTTAAGCCTACAATATCTCTATGAAGTAAATGTGATGTTAATTTTTTGAAACATCCGATTTAGGGAAGAACTAGGAATAATCCACGACAAATATAGAGTCATATTTGCAAAATTAAAATGCCACTGTTGCTGAGAGTTCCACACCAAAGAACAGTTTTCAGTTGAATAAAAAGAGAAGTAGCTGAGGGAATCCACCACAGATTTAAAGAATATTATAAGAATTAATCCTTAAGAAATACTAAGGTGAAAAATTGTTCTACCAAAGGGTATTTTGTCAAACTCACATAAAGAGTCAGAATAGATATTAGCAAAGACAGGGAAATTAAAGGACTGTCATTAATTTATAAAGAGGAATGTTAATTAAAACCCAAAAGGAATCTGGGAAAAATTACTTCCGTTATTTATTTCAAGAAATCTTTTGAACTGCTAATGAGAACATTTGGATTATCTCAGGAATAATTGCTTAGTGTTTATTGTATCAAATTATGAATTTCTAAAGTTAAGGTGAAGGAGAGAGATTAGTCACAGATGAAAGAAAAAAATAATGTAGCAACACAGAAATAAGAAATTGGTAAATAAAATATAGGTTAAGCTTAGACTTGGGTAAATAGAAAGTAGGATAAAGCATAGGCACTTAAAAAAAAACACCTAGGGTTCAACAGTTACAATGGCATCTGGAGATTTGCCCCTTATGGCAAATCTTGCTTTCCCATTATTACATCTAGGGATTCAGAAAACGGATGCTTGAAGAAAGGAGGGAGAAGAGGAAGAAGAAGGCATTATTACTGAGAAGCTGGACTTCTCTACAGAATCCAGGAAGGTTTTTTTTTTTTTCATGGACTATAAGGCCAAGAAAATGTTAAGAAAGTGCAATAGATGGACCATGCTCACCATATTGCCAGTGATCTCCTGCAAACGGATCTTCGGTTCACAAGAGAAAAGTTTATGCCAACCACAAATCCCGGCCAGCATCACTCTCATGGCCTCAAAACTCATCAGGCACACAACAGTTATTTATTCCTCCCTCTGATCTCTCTCCACTGCATTCATTTGTTATTGCAAACTGCCAGAACAGAACTCAGCAGAAAGGATAGAGAAACGAATGACCTTGGGTCACTTCTCATGTCTACGGCATTCTTGGTAGAGGTTGAGGTAGAGAGGAGATGGGGCATCTGTTTCTTCTTGAGTTTTGCTCATTTTCATGTACTCCAACTGGCACTGTAAGAGTTGGGTAGACGGAAGGGAAGACCCTAGATGAAAGCCAGGAGAGAGCGACAGCTTCGCTGGGACCTGTGGACAACCGGCTGGCTCTGTGCTCAGGAAGAAGTCTCACAGAGCACAAGGGGTCATAAAATGGGGCCACGAGCCATTCACACACACAGACGGTTGACACACATTGGCCTGGATGGATTTTCCTTCACCTCAGAGTAAATAGATAGATTAAGAATACTTAAATCTAAAATAAAGATAAGAACAAGCTGAAGTAATGAGACATAATGGGCTTATAGGATAATTCTTTTACAAAACCAGAAGGAGTTTCTTTCAAAGAAAACTGGCATTTTTCAAGTGTACAAAGAAATATGGGCTCTCTGAAACAGAATTGGAATACAATCAAGAGAGAATGGGATGGGATAAAAAAGACAAAGTGAGGAAATAAGAAGATGGGTAAGAAAAGGAAAAGTCACAAGGAAATTAAAAATGCAATTGCAGAATTAAAACCATTAATGGAGGAAGAAAAGACAGATTTAGCTTTACAAACATGGAATCAGTATGTGAATGCAACCGAGAGGCTGTGAATAATGTTTAGGAAAAGAGTAATGCATGAAAGAAGTGAGGAAGTGGAATGATAGGATGGAAATTGGGAAGAATTTTTAAGAATTGTAGGTACACCATTAAAACACATCAGAATAAGTGAAACAGACAAGTGATTAATAAATTGAAGAAAATTTCCATGAAAGAGAGGCAATGTTAACCTTTCTGGATTTTGGCTCTGAGTGGACCTCTCTGACATGCCACCTTCCTTCAGACCTGCACACATATTAATGCAATTTACTATCTATCTAACTATAGCATCATAGGGTATTTAAGATAGAGAATATTTCATTCTTTGACCACTCCAAAAATCTCTTCCATAAAGATTTTTGCAATGCAGAGAGTAATTAATCTCTTAGCCTTCTCCTTTCTAGGTCAGACACCAGTAATCCATTTTATTTTTTCTTCAAATAACCAGTTTTCTATGGAAGTAATCATTTGTGATAGTCTTCTATGGTAGCACAACATTCTTTTGTAAGATATGATTACATCAGTTGAATATGGTAGTGTAAAATGTGTGAGAGAAAATAGACTGTGGTAAATATGTTGCTTCTATTTCTTGCAGATCAATCTCTTTTAACATTTTGGTGTTAACATATTTATATTTCAGGAGTCAAAGAATAAATATCAGCATTTATAGCAGATGGCTCTGGAATATCCTTATTTGGAGATTTTTTAAAAATTGTGCTAAAATATACATAACATAAAATTTACCTTTTTAACCATTTTAAGTGTACAGTTCAGTAACATTAAGTACATTCATGTTGTGCAACCATCATCACTATCTATCCCCAGAACCTTTTTCATCCTCCAAAACTGAAACTCGATACCAATTAAGCAATTATTTCCTATTCCCCTATTTTCCTAGCCAATGGCAACCACCATTCTACTCTGTCTCTATGGATTTGACTACTCTATCTACCTCATATAAATGGAATTATACACTATTTGTACTCTCTTGACAGGCTTATTTTACAAAACATAACGTCTTCAAGTTTCACCCATGTTGTAGTCAGAATGTCCCTCCTTTTCAAGGCTGTGTAATATTCCACTGTATGCATAGACCACATTTTATTTATTCATTCATATGTTGATGCATCCTTGGGTTGCTTTCATCTTTTGGCTGTTGTGAATAATGCTGCTGTGAACATAAGTATCCAAATATCTGTTCAAGTCCCTGCTTTCGATTTTTTTGGAGAGTGGATTTGTTGGATCACTTGGTAATCTATGTATAATTTTTTGAGCAACCACCAAACTGTTTTCCACAGTACCTGCATTAGTGTATATGCCACTTGTCATCACAAGGGTTCCAATTTCTCCAGGGTCTTGGCGATCTTCAACACATTTTTTTCCTCTAGATGGAATGATTATGAGTTGAGAAAGACAGGAAGATCTAGGTGACTTTTAAAACCCCACATGTCTTGTCACCTGTGATGCATTGTCTTCAAGGAAGAGCTTAGTGAATAGTTCTTTGCTTGCCCCAAAGAGTTAATAAAACTTTTATTAATACGTGGCTTTCTCTTAGAGAACAGATAACATGCCCAACTTAACCTTTCGATACACATAGCAATATCTCGTTCAGTGCATATGCATCCCCAGTTCTGCTATTGATACTATAAGAATGAAGTATCTGGAGGATGGAGAGAGCGTTACATTTATTGGTATTGGTGTGTTCAAATGGAAATAAAAATAGAAGGGTCTTGTCTTGGGTGAATTCCCCCAAAACAGACCCCAACATGAAGATCTGTGTAAAAGTGATTTATTATGAAGTGCTCCCAGGAGAGACCTTTAGGGGAATGGGCGAGGAGGGAAAGAGAAAGGAGGCAAGCCACGCAAGGGAGCCCTGTTTCTCCTCAGAGCCACTTTGGCTCAGTCCTGCACAGAAACTCTAGAGGTAAGTTGGGTTACACCACAGAGTTGTCCCAGTCAGGGGCAAAAAGGCCAGAGTATTCTGCAGCTATTGCTGAGGTGTGATCAGGGATTTCCAGCTCTCCTGTGCATGCAGGCAAAGTGGGTTCTGGCAACCTGGGGCAGCCCCCCAACAAAAAGTCATGGCTATTGCCTGTTGGGATTGCAGCCCTACTGTGCATGTGCATGAAAATGGTAGAAGGATCCAAGGGGATAGAGCAGAGCACTGTGGCCTCTGCCACAGATGTCAAAAAAAGTATGTAGCCTGAGGGTAAGAATAGACAGGCAGGGATGAGGGTTGGGTGCCTTTAATGTCAGCCATTTAATAAAAATAACTTGAAGAAAGAACTTTGTATCAAAACTTTATTTATTAAACAAAAAATGCACCATTGGAATAACATTTCTATAAAAAATGAATATGAGACTGTTCTACAGTGATTACAAAACCCCTTTTCCTCGTGTGGTAGTATACAAGATCGAGTGTAGAAACAGTCACCGTTTTAAACTGTAAGCAAGTATCCTTTCTCATAGAACAAGATTTACACTTAAATATTGCAATCACTAGTCTAATTTGGTTAACAATGCTAGAGTCTTGACAATTTAAAGAAACTCTTTGTAGGCTCAAAATACCTTTTTCTTTTTTTTAAAGGTGTTTTGTAGCAACAAAAAATTTCTTTTTTCCACTAAGGCTAGTTAAAGCTGTAGTATACCCATTTCTACCAAATAAACCTACCACTAGCACAATAACAGTTTGAATTGCAAAGCCCTTTGAGAGAATGAGTAGCATTGATCTGCAAAATGCTAGCAGACTATTTTAGATTTGGTGTTATCTTGTTTGAATGACCCTGGAAAGGGAGAAGGTGGTAATGATGAAGCTTCAGCGGAGGCTTTGCCTGGACGCATCCTCATACTCAGCAATGGACAATTCATTTCCAAAGTGGTCCCTCTGAGATATGGAACACTGCAGCTTTAATAGCCATATCTAGATTCCCAACCAGATCTCCCTTTTTATCATAAATTATCCAAAAAGAAGCCACTCTAAATAATAAATTAAATATTACTTATAAAAAGTACACCCCGGACCCACCCACCCATCCCCCAAACAAGCTGACAATTCACCAAGGTCAGAATTGTCAGGTTTACCCTACAATAATAAAAAACAGCCCTTCTCCTCCTCTCCAACATTCCTTTCTTGCATCTGAAAATAACACTTTCAGCACACAGTGAGATCCCTTGGCCCATGCATCTGTGACATCTTGCAGAGTTTTGCTGTTGCTGTCCAGCCAACAAAAAAATTATAGGATGACACTGTGCAAAGGCTCTCTACTGAGAGCAGGAGAAGAAGTCCTTCAGAGAGTGCGGCTAGAAGTCGCCAAGTGAACGTTACCCAGCGGCGGCAATGCAGAGCCCAGAAGTGATATTTATTTGCTGATATGGGCATGGTATTTGTCTCTTATGTAACCTCACTGACCAGGAAATAGGCATTTCTTTTCATCATTACCTTTTGGAAGCAGGTATTTGGATAGCAAAGTCCATTGAGGCATGGGAATGTGTATTTTTCATTGGAATGGAATATTGCACAAAATATCTACGATTTTCTAAGTAATGTAATTTAAAACAGGGGAACCCTGTGGAAAGCTATTTTGTGCAATAGTTAAGTGATTTCTGAAAGTCACTAGAGAAATAGACACCATGAGTAAAATGTTGCTTTGAAAGTAATTTTAAAAAGAGAGATGGCGGATGTGAGTGTGTATGCCTGCTTCTGAAGCTCTGCTAGGTTACGGGCTCTGTATTGTATATATGGTTATGAACAGGCAAGGGAGGCTACTCTGGCCTTCAGGACGGTCTGTGATCGTATGAAGTCAACTAGTTGATTGAGGGAGGGAAAGCAACCTTATTCCACATCTATTTGAAAATTCAGAGGATTTTGTTTTCTCTAAACACACCTAAAACTAGGAAATTTTTTCTGTCTCTCTCTTATGGACTAGAGATGGAAATTCTAAAACCATAAGAAGTCTGAGTCTGGGATACAATTTCATCTGAAATGGTAAGGTGATTTCTTTAGAGGTGACATTTTTTTGTTGTTGTTGGAGTGACAGTCCAGCTGCCAAATGAAACCCTCTGTTAAATTTGGAGACTTTAGATGTTTCTCTAAACAAAGTCAACAGCCAGATGTATCAAAAGGGTGGATAACAATGAGCAACCATCTTCAAACACAGACTATGAAGGTTTTCCAGGAAAACCTCTACTTAGAGATTCTTTATTGGAGAAGTTGTGAGTGCCAAACTTTAAAGTTTCCAAATATTGATGGGAATGACACACTAATGCTGGGCCACTCTCCTTTTGTAGCTCCTACTGAGGCAGAGGACCAAACATACATGTCATTTCAAGCACCCCATATTTTGAAGAGAAAAATGTTATAGCTAATCCCTCATGGGAAACTTTAATAAGTTTACCTCTTAAATCTTGATCTGTTTCTCTCCATTTTTTTTCCAGATTGTTCAATTGAGTGTGCATTTTATAACATCCAAATGTGAAATTCCATTGTTTACATATCCTAGAAGGTTATAGCATATTCTACAAAGAGGTTGCTATGACTTTTTTTTTTTTTCCGAATATGAATCGCTAAGAAATATTTAACTTTTGGCTAGAGCATCCTCCTGCCTTATGCATTTTGAGCTCTCTGCATTTTTGTGAGTTTCACAAATGAAGAAATTTCTAGAGGAAAGAAAAATAGCTTTCTCATCGGTATGAAATACAGAAGAAAAATACCAGACTTTTTCAAGAGGAGGCTCTTGCCTGACAGTTCAGCCCAATGCAGGGGAGTCCTGAGCATGCCCTGCCACGTTTTATTTTCTTCTTTTTCAGGGAGAAATGAGTCCTGGTGGCAGAGCTGCTGGTTGGCTGTCAAGCATCGCCCTGCGGGAGTCAGAGAGATTTATGAGCTTAAAGAGCCCTGTATGTTATGAACTAGTCTCGGAGTAAGGAACAAAATAGAGGCTATCTTGCAGTCTTCACAGATTGCTTCTTGTCAAGAGATCAGAAGACTGGAAATTAAACAGTTACCTGAAAATTTGAGCAGGCAGTTATATACATATGTGAACTCTTTGGCAGAGTGAGGAGCAGAGCTTTACAAAAGTTGTGGCAAAGTCATTGCATATTAAAATCATTGGCAAAAGCACAGAAGAGTCTCTTGAGAGAATTTAAATGGATTCTACTGTATCTTCAAGGCATGAAGCAAGACTTACTAGCAATACCAATTACTAAAATAAAGCATTGTATTTCTTTAATGAAGAAAGCTTCAAGAGCATGCACCAGAAATGTGCTGAAAACAAATAATGCATGTTTTCATGTAGTTTTAAAAATTTTTATTTATTAAGGTCAGGGACTTTGACTAGAGTCATTGAGAATTTTGTGAAGAATGCTATTCTCTTGATTGTCCAGATACAATCTATACTCAATCTGAAATTTGAGATTTGTAGCCCATTCCAAACAGAGCACTCAGGATGACATTCCTTGGATAACAAATACCATCAGAGAATGTTACTTATTTATTAGTATTAGAAATGGGGGAGGCATTCTAGGACCTCGAGAGGGTAAAGCTAGCCTAATGAACATTTTCTGAAGTAATGAATTATTTCTGCAAGATTCAACATTATGTTAGGAAATGCCTTGTTCCCGGTCAGTGGAGGGTTGTCTACCTAAGTGTCCAGATTTTGAAGAAGAGTAATCTGCTCCATAGAATAACGTCACATAGCTCTTCAGAAGAACTTCAAGAAAATCTTAGTAAATTGAATAAGCACTCTTGTT